CAGTTTCTGCACTCACTTCGACACTGGCACTGCTTTGGCAACAGATCAGTTTGTATTGTGTTGTAAAGCACTTTCAGCTCCAGATGAACAAGAGAATTAAAAAATGTAACTGTCAGGTCTGTGCCATCTTGTGAAGATTTTCCAGTATTCACAGGGACTAAATTTACATACCCATTTTTAAGTAGGCTGATCTTGCTGTGTCTCTGCATACTGCTCCAAAGCAATCCTGCCATAGTCCCCAGCTTCTCAGTGCTTTACATGTAACAGTCAGCTGATGGTGCGAAGATATAACAGATGAAAACACACAGTTCTTGTAGGAGAAGCCAGAAAACAAAAGCTGTCATAAGGAGATAAGAGATGAAGTTTCCCATTTCAAGAGACAGAAGAGGCTGAACAGGTTGAAGGTCCAGGAGATACTGCTAGAAGGGAACCGGGGCTGGAGATTTATTTGGCAGGTTTATGAAGTCCCTGTTCCTCCTGCATCCAGCCTCTTCCAGTAGATGAAATAACTCCCTACTTTCTGCACACAGTGAGGAAACAGAAAACTTCTCAGGAAAGTTGAAGGAGTTCCCCTCTGAAGGTGTTGCTATTTGCAGGAGGAGAATATGAACTCTGGAAGGATGGGGTCCTCTACAGTGAGGGCAGAGTGCAGGACCTGACCTGAAGAAAACTGATGTTGATGTTCCATCAATCCTTCCCTTCAGACCCATGTGCACTCCAAACATCTTTTTTGATGTTTGCAGAGCAGTGCAGCTTACCTCAGCAGCTCTCTAAGGGGATGGAGAGGATACTGCTTGTGGTGCAATTGAGAAAATTCCCCTTTTCTTTTTTGCTTTCCTAGAGCAGGGTGATGTGTGGGTGCTGCAGACCTGCCACCTCCCCTCTGCTCCAGTGCAGTGCTCTTCAAACAGGTTTTGCACTTAGGGCAGTGTGGTTTATGCTCCTGTTTTGGCACAGAGAGACAAATGAAACTTCACAGCCTTCCTTGGAGATGGTTTCTATCACAGGCATGGATAAAACTGGGGCATGGAGAGGTTGAATAATATGTTTAAGGACATGCATAAAGTAAGCCCAGTAAAGCTGGTCACAGCACTCCTGTGTTGGGTTTAATATGTGAGGTTTTAAAATAATTTCTGGTTAGTGGTACCACTGGTGGGAGGGCACAGGGGAAGTTTTGTAAAGCAGAAGCCTCAGAATCATGTGGCTGAAATAAAATTTGAATACAGGGCTGTAGAAGCAAAACTCTGTGGAGTAAATCATGCTCAATTAGTTTTCTATCAATCTCATCCATCCAAATGCTTTTGATAGGCCAGGTTCCTTGCCAGAGTCCTCCCCTGTCTCCAGAGGGATGCCACAGTATGTGTCTGTCCATCCTGTCTGTAGTCCTAGTCCAGCTTGGTTTTGTGATTCTAGTTTCCATTTCCCTTGCTGCACTCCCAGAGAACTGTTGCACTTGACCTGAGATAGACAGTCATGGTAATACAAGTATATTCTGCTGAAGATAGACTTGCCAGCAAATGATTAGTATTGTGTTAACTGTACGTTTTCCAAGTGGGACCACGTGTTTGACGTGTTTAAAGTTCAGCCCTTGTTCAAGACAGGATCAAAAAAGGCATTTTAAACACTGTGGCAAAATACCTAATCTCGTTTCTTTGCACTTGTTGTGTAAATATAAGATAAGAGCAGTATTCCCAAGGTTACCACAAACAGCCCATCACTACAGGGTGCAAGCTAACATTGTATGTTGACATAAAAAGCAGCATTGCTGCAGTCAGCCATGGTAAACAAACCCACAGGTTTCTTTGCCTTTACAAGTCATAAGTTTGGGATGTAACCTATTCAGACCTGCCCTGCTGTTGTATCCGCAGTACATGCATAGTTGTTCTACAGCCTTACCTACCTGTGAAAGGCAGATGGAGGTCACCCTGGTTTCATCTGCAGGTTTCACCATGAAGACATCAGCAGGTAAAGAAGTTAACAATTGTGGATTAGCACAGCTGTAATGATTGACTCTAAAACTGGAATTTACTAGAAAAGAGGTGGGCTTACTTGTCATCATAAACCCTCAATGGAAAAGGATGAAATCCTTTCCAGGGGATGTTTTCCTGAGAAGTTTTCTGTTTCCTGGCTGTGTGCACAAAGTAGGGAGTTATTTCATCTGTTG